GGCCCACATCCTGTTTTTAGCTTCCAAAGGGCCTGGTCTTCTGTGTGGCACTAGGTGAAACAGTGCATTCTCTACTTCCGCATCTTGCCATACCACTTTTGTCAGAGACGCTCTCTCACTGCCCTTCACCACTTGCCTCCCTTGTCTCCGTGAAACAAGTGGTGTTGTCAACCCTGATGGGCATTTGATATCCCTCCCTGACACCTTTCCCAAAGACAACTGCATGATTAAGGCCCTTTCAGGTCTTCATCCAGTGCCACCAAGAGGGCAGAGCCTATGTCAGGTTTTGCCAGGGGCTCTCAAAGGGCAGTCCAGGGGACATTGTGATAGTCTTCAGGTGACCTAGGTTAGTCTGAAAAGGCTGAAACTGCTGGCTCTTCCTATGGCTAGGGCTGCAGTGCAGGGTTGGTAGCGAAGCTTTTCAGTCTGCATTTTTGTTTCTCAATGAGTTTTATATCATGTGCATGTAAAGCCAACTGTAAAAATAATTTCTACTGCCAACTGTGCGATGGACTGGGTGCTGAGGACACGTCCTCCCCCTAGATAGCTAGGTCTTGGTTACGGTGCCCTTTGGATTGCTGTCCTGCAGCAGTGGGGGAGGCTTTGTCCTCCTGAGCCTTGGTTGTTGCAAGGTTGGGGAAAGTAAGCTTAGGATTCCTTTAGTCAGCCAGGATTTATGCTAGGTCTTATGTCACCCATCAGATGCCCCAGAAGCAGGTCCAGGTTGGAGGAACATGTCCCCAATATAAGGCCTGTGTCTGTTGCGCGTTAAGGTCAAGCAATGAGCACACAAAGATCACCAGGCATGAGGGGAAGGAGAGACACCATGAAGGAGAACAGGAATAATAGACAGATGTAGGCATGCTCAATGACCACACATACAGGAGCTGTTAGATACGGGCCATGGGGTGTATAAAGAAAAAGTGGAGAGCTGGGCACAGTGGCTTGCAGCTACAGTCCTGGCTACTCGGGAGACTGAGGCAGAGGATTGCTTGAGGCCAGGAGTTTGAGGCTGTGGTGAGCTGTGATTGCATCACTGCACTCTAGCCTGGGGGACAGAGCGAGACTCCATCTCTGAAAAAATAGAAAACAAAAAAGAGCAGAATTTCAAATGAAAAAGCATCGTGAGCAGTGATAACAGATTTGAAATGGAACCAAATGAAAGCTGTAGAAATGAGAAATATAATTACTGAATAAAGAAAGTGGAGGAATAAACAGCCCATTAGATACAGCTGTAGAAAAAAATTGTGTAATAGAAACTGCATTTGAAGAAATTACCAAGAATGTAGCACAGAGAAGAGCACATGGAAAATGTGAAAGCAAGAGTAAGAAATGAGAATAAGATCAGAAATTCTAATCGGCATCCAAGCAGAGCCCCAAAAGGACCAAATGGGGAGAATGGAAGAAAACAGTATGTAAGGGGATAACTACTGAGAAAAGTCCAGCTGGCACCAAGCAAGTTAACCATCTCAACTGCTGTGAGACTGTAGAACACCAAAGTCCAGAAGAATAACTTAGAAATAGCCAGTTCCTGCAAAGGAGCAGTAAGTACACTCAGCAACGGAGTCAGAAAGATGATAGAATATTGTTAAAGCATTGAGAATAGAGCTGCCAGTCCCATTTGTATGCCCACAAGACTCTTTCAGGGATGCGAAAAGCAAGTTGTTTTTAGATAAACCTAGTCTTAGAGACCTTCACTAAAAGATTTTCCAAAGGATATATCCTTTTATTTCACCTTTTTCCAATAAGCCTTTTTGCATCCTAGATACATTCTTTTGTTTAGCCTTTCTTCCCTCAGGTATAAAATGGGAAAAGAAGTGTTGAGCACAGATGATAGTAAATGTGTGTAAATCTAAACCAGTGATTCTCATCCAGGGTGATGTTGCACCAAAGGGATATTTGACAATGTCTGGAGACATTTTGGGATGTCACTACTGTGGGGGTTCTGCTGGTGCATAATGGGTGGAGGCCAGAGAGGCTGCTAACCGTCTTACAAGTACAGGTCAGCCCCCACTACATAGAATCATCTGGGTCAAATGTCAGTAGTGAAAAGGTTGAAAATCTCTGGTGTAAATAAAAATTTACCTCTGTAAAATAATAATGCTCAAGCTAACCTCCATACAGACTTGTCACATTCCAAGCACTATTTTTATTTTTATTACTATTATTATTATTAATAGAGCTAGGGTCTCGTTGCCCAGGTTGGTCTCAAACTTCTGAGTGCAGGCCATCCACTGCCTTGGCTTTTTAAAGTGCTGGGATTACAGGCATGAACGACTGTACCCAACCCCAAGCACTATTTTGAGTGTTTTACTTACATCATAGATTACTTAATTCGTAGTCCAGTGTGTGGAGTGGATACTATTGTTGTCTTTTCTAACAGGGAAAACTGAGGCAATGAGCAGTGACAGAGTTGAGGTTTTGAGTTCAGGGAGCCTAGCTCAGAGGCTGTATTCCTAACCTCAAGTCTCCCCAGCTTCTTAATAGAATGTCTGCTGTGAAGAGTAACATCACCAAAAAATGAAATAAATGAAAGTCAGAAGGGAGATATAGCGTGAATATCGGGTCTGTTGTATACATGTAAAACCTACTTTAAAAAGTAGTAAATTTGGGAAATGCTAAAATATTGATAATGTTTATACTTTAAAGATGCATGATAAAATTGAAAAATTATTGCTAAAACAATGGAAATAATTCATAAAATTTAAAATCAATAGCAAAAATACAATGCAGAGATCCAGCTGATACAGAGTTCAGCCCAATCATCCAACAAAAATGCAATAAACACAAAGAAGCTTAGAAAAAAGGAAAGACAAATAAAAGTTTAGTCTACTCACATTTATTATGATTACTTACAAGGCTGAGGGAGGAGGGTCACTCCAGCCCAGGAGGTCAAGGATGCAGTAAGCCATGATGGTACCACTGTAGTCCAGCCTGGGTAACAGAGTGAGACCCCATCTCAAAAAAAAAAAAAAAAAAAATTTTAAAAGTAATTTTTAAAAAAAAAAAAAAAAAAAAAAAAATCTTACACCCATCAGAATTGCTAAGATGAATAGTGATAGCCTCAAATGTTGGTGACAGAGAAACTGAATCACTCATATATTGCTGGTAAGAATGTAAAGTGATTTTACCTTCTTCCAAAATGAAATATGCAACTTGGCAGTTACACTCTTGGGCATTTTTCCTAGAGAAATGAAAACCTTGCATAAAAACCCACGCACAAAGCTGGGCGTGGTGGCTCACGCCTGTAATCCCAGCACTTTGGGAGACGGAGGTGGGCGGATCACCTGAGGTCAGGGGTTCGAGACCAGTGTGACCAACATGGAGAAACCCTGTCTCTACTAAAAATACAAACTTAGGCATGGGTGGTGCACACTCTGTATTCCCAGCTACTCAGGAGGCTGAGGCAGGAGAATCGCTTGAACCCGGGAGGTGGAGGTTGTGGTGAGCCGAGATTGTGCCACTGCACTCCATGCTGGGCAACAAGAGCGAAACTCCGTCTCAAAACAAAAACAGAAACACCAAAAAACAAACAAACAAAACCCACAAACAAACCCATGCACAAATTTTCACAGCAGCTTTATTTGTAGTAGCCCAAATCTTCATTTGCCCAGATGTCCTTCAACTTGAATGGTTAAACACACTGTGAGGTGCTTGTACCATGGAATACTCTGGCAATACAAGGAAGGAACTACTGGTAGAACTACAGCCTGTATGGTGAATGTAAAAAGCCAATCCCAAAAAGAAGTTTCATACTGTATGGTTCCATTTTTGAAATATATATAATTTTGAAATGACAAAATTTTAGAAATGAAGGCTGCTATGCTGGTTTCGAGAGAGTGGGTCAGGGTTCCTGAGAAAGTTGGCAACACAAGCGATCCTTGCAGTGTGGGGCTGTGCAGTGTACTGACTGTGGTGGTGATTGAACCCACCCAGGGGGTAAAATTGTCTAGAACTTAGTACACACACCCACACAAGTGAGCATACATAGTGGTTATGATACCTTGTAATTTTGTAGAATGTTATCATTAGAGGAAACTGGGCAAATTATATAAAGGATCTTTTTGTATTTGATACAGCTTTACTGAGACATAATTCTCATTAAGATACAGTTCACCCATCTGAAGTGCTCCACTTGGTAGGTTTTAGTGTAATTCAGAGTTGTGCAGCCATCATAATTTTAGAACATTTTTGTGTTCACCCCAAAAGAAACCTCACCCCCCAGAAAATCTTGAAATGGACTGTTCACATGAGTAGTTTTCATAATAGCCACAAAATAGAAGCAGCCCAAATGTTCATCAGCTGATAAATGGATAAATAAAACATGGGAAACTGATATAGTAGAATATTATTTGGTGATAAAAATAACACAGAAAAATTGATACATGCCACAACATGGTATGCTAAAGAAACGTCACAAAAGAGCACATGTCTGATGCCATTTATACAAACAGTCCAGAAGTGGCCAATCCATAGAGACAGAGAGATTACTGGTTGCCAGAGTCTAGGCTTCTTATCTATCCAAAAGACTTAATTGTCCCTTTTCTTTTCTCTTTGGTTATTATAGAGTAACTCAGATAGGAAATTCCAAAATCAACACAAATGCTACTTCGTATTTTCTCTTTCTGTCTGTGGTAAGTGGAACATTCAGATTCCAGTGGCGGCCATGGCAGTGGGGCCTTTGCTGGCTGTTTTGTCCCCTGCTGTGCAGCCCTGTAGCAGAGATTCTGCTCCGTGGACTGACTGGCGACTCTGGTCTTTTCTCAGCCCAGCTGCAGCTCCAGCAGGTGGCGCTGCAGCAGCAGCAACAGCAGCAGTTCCAGCAGCAGGCGGCGCTGCAGCAGCAGCAGCAACAGCAGCAGTTCCAGGCTCAGCAGAGTGCCATGCAGCAACAGTTCCAAGCAGTAGTGCAGCAGCAGCAGCAGCAGCTCCAGCAGCAGCAGCAGCAGCAGCAGCATCTAATTAAATTGCATCATCAAAATCAGCAACAGGTACCAAGTTCCCTGTTCCTGCTCTTGGCCTCCTCCTGCAGTGTGAGCCCTGGGCTGGCATCAGCCATGATGCTGGGTGCAGTGCCCAGAGCCAGCTGAGGGTCCTCTTGACACATGTGTGCCTGCCCTTTTTCATGGGCTTCTTGAAAAGTCTGGAACAGGCAGGAGAAACAGGCCATGACTCACTAGGAAGGTTCTGCAATCGATCCTTTCCATTCTGGCTTTGGGCATCTGGCTGTGGGCCTCCTGTGTGCTTCAGGGGCTGCAAGGGATTCAGGCAAGAGTGAGCTGAAGCAAGAAGGGAGACAAACACTCTGAGGTTTGGGACTGCTTGAGCCAGTGTGGGCCATTATCGCTGAGGACACATGCGCCTCCTGTTTTCCTCTCTGTCTTGGGGTCTGGGCTCAGTGTTAGTTGACCTCCAGCTGGTGTTCCATGGGATAATGGTGATGTCATGCTGGCAACACTGCTTCTCAGAAGCTGTTCAGCTTCCCATGGTTTCCAGTGAGAGTCTAGATGTGTTAAACATCTGTCCTCACAGCAGGTCTTGGTTGGGAAAGGAAAGCCTCAAAGGGCCCCCACAACCCTCCACCCCTTCAGGCCTCAGCTTGCTGGGCTTCTCTGGATCTTGGGGCTCCTGTCCCAGAGCTGACAGTGCATCTGCAGCCACACTTTTCCTTCTCATCCTGACAAGCAGACCTTGACCGTCAACATGTGAGGCTCATACCACTGACCTCTAGGGGCAAAGCAAGCACCATTGCGGAGGCTTCAGAAATCTGCATTTTGCCCCAGCTTTTATCCTAGCTTCCATGGAGCTGCTATTAATTGTCACCTTTTGCTGAAGCTTCTAGATATTTCCTTTGAACCATCCTAGGGGAATGGTAGCCAGCCTGTAGTGACCAGAGCCCATGCATGCACTTGATGCCTCCTTGGTGTCAGGAAGGCAGCTGGTGTTGGCCTTGGAGGCCCAGAGCCTTTCTATGGGAGGTGTGTCCCTCCCCATGTGAGTGAGAGGTCAGCCCAGGAAGGCCTTCTTTTTTTTTTTTTTTTTTTTTTTGAGACGGAGTCTTACTCTGTCACCCACAATGGAGTGCAGTGGCGCAATCTTAGCTCACTCAAACTGCACCTCTCAGGTTCAAGCGATTCTCCTGCCTCAGCCTCCTGAGTAGCTGGGATTACAGGCCTGCGCCACCATGCCTGGCGAATTTTTATATTTTTAGTAGAGATGGGGTTTTACCGTATTGGTCAGGCCGGTCTCAAACTCCTGGCCTTGTGATCCACCTGCCTCGGCATCCCACAGTGCTGAGATTACAGGCATAAGCCACTGCGCCCGTCCAGGAAGGCCTTCTTGATGGCTGTGCAGTTGCCTGCCTGTGCTTCCTGGGACCCAGGCTGGCACAGGGAGGAGCTGGTGTCCCAGAGGTGGATGAGTGATAACTGAGTGCTGCTTGTTCTATCTGTAGATACAGCAGCAGCAACAGCAGCTGCAGCGAATGGCACAGCTGCAGCTCCAGCAACAGCAGCAGCAGCAGCAGCAGCAACAGCAGCAGCAGCAGCAACAGGCATTGCAGGCCCAGCCGCCAATTCAGCAGCCACCGATGCAGCAGCCACAGCCTCCGCCCTCCCAGGCCCTGCCCCAGCAGCTGCAGCAGATGCATCACCCACAGCACCACCAGCCACCGCCACAGCCCCAGCAGCCTCCAGTTGCTCAGAACCAACCATCACAACTCCCGCCACAGTCGCAGACCCAGCCTTTGGTGTCGCAGGCGCAAGCTCTCCCTGGACAAATGTTGTATACCCAACCACCACTGAAATTTGTGAGTACCTGTGGCCTGCAGCTCATGGCTCTGTCAACAGCAGTTTCTACGTTCTTTGACTAGAGACAGCATGTCCTATTATTCAAGAGTTGAGACTTCCGGCAGCCCCACCCCTTGCCAGCCCTGCCACCTCTAGTATCAGCAGGGGAGCATGTGTTTTGTGTTTCATGTTCCGGGAGCTGCATCTGCACCCCATACAGGTTGCTGCTGCTGCTGGGGCAGCAAGTCACATTCCAAGCAGCGTGGCTGATTGCAGTAGTGCTGTGGGGCCTTTCAGGGTATAGGTGATTTGACTGATGGGCACCATGTGGAAGGATGTGCCAGCTCTATCAGCGTCTGGTGGTTTGCCAACTGTTCAGAGTTACATTCTAAACAAATATCTTTTTTTTCTCTACACTCTGCCAAGTCTCAGGAGAACAAAATTCATTACTATATTTTTGAGGGGAGTATTAACATAAAAGACTGTTATTCCCAGTCTCATTTTGCATCTCTGCACAAAGCCAGTCTAGTCAGTGACACTGGCACAGAGGACAGAGTATTATCACCAGGATGGAGTGAGCTGTACCATGGGGTCTTTTGGACAACTGTTTGGCTCACTTAGTTTTTGTGGCCTTTTCTACTTGGATTCATTGAGTGGAGCGGGGCCTGAGCCAAGCGTGGGGGTGAACAGGAGGCCTCACAGAGGCAGGCTGGAAGTCTAGGAGAGTTATGAGGAGCAGATATGGTCACTCATCTGTCACCTGGGAGCCAACACACTGACCCCTGAGACTGTGTGGACTGGAACCCTTGTGTGCTGCATGGGGGGGTATGCCCTGGCAGAGTTTGCCCTGTTGGCTTGGAGATGTCTAAGGAGGAGCCCCCTGTGTGATGGTGCAGGCCTTGTCCCTCTGGAGTCCCCTCCATGCAGTGTATTCACAGTTGCCCCTTTTGCCCAAGTTTGCCCCCCCACCCTTTTTTTTTTGAGACAGGGTCTCTCTCTGTTGTCCAGGCTGTAGTGCACTGATGTGATCAGACCTCCCTTGCTCAAGCGATCCTCCTACCTCAGCCTCCCAAGTAGCTAGGGCTACAGGTATGCATCCCCACACCCAGCCAAATTTTTATATATTTTGTAGAGATCGGGTTTGGCCATGTTGCCCAGGTTGGTCTCAATCTCCTGGGCTCAAGCAATCTGCTGGCCTTGGCCTTCCAAAATGCTGAGAATACAGACAGGAGCCACTAGGCCTTTCCTTCTGCTGGCCGGCTGGTGACCCTGCTTTACTTCAAGGAATGAGGCTGAGTGAGGCTCTTGTGGACCTTCAGTATGCTTGGCCCAGAGGATGGGCAGGCTAGGCTGTAAGCTCTGCATTGGAAGCTGTCACTGCTTGTGGTGATAGCTGATGCTGAGGGATATGTGGAGACATACCAGTGGGAGGGCTGTGCTGCCTCTTGCCAGAGTTGGATTTGAGCTTTTGGGATCCTAAATGGCCAGTGAGGTGACATCACAGCACATGAAATCATGAAAGTCCCATTCCCCATCTCAAGAAAGACCCCATTTCCTAAGCTCCCACAGGAGGAGTGGGCTCTGCTCTCTGCCTCAGGTGGTTCCAAATCACATTCTGTCTTCCTCCCACAAGGTCCGAGCTCCAATGGTGGTGCAGCAGCCCCAGGTGCAGCCCCAGGTGCAGCAGCAGACAGCAGTACAGACAGCTCAGACTGCCCAGATGGTGGCTCCTGGAGTCCAGGTGAGGGTCTGGGGGCTGTGGGCTCTGTAGTCACTGGCAGGTGCATTGTCACCTGTGCATGGTGTGCTACAGTGAGAGTCCTGGTTTGATTAGGTACTGGGGCTAAGTTGGTAAAGCAGGGGCTTCTCTCCCCCTTGCACTCTGTGAGACACCCCTAGAGTCCTTGGGGTGGCCAGCTGTGTGTGCTTGGTCATGTCTAGGACCCACTGGCTGCATAGTGCATGTTGTTTCTAGTTTTGCTTGGGCATCTTTCATCATCCTTCTTCCTTGCCACTCTGAGTCACTCTGGGAATGTGTATCAGAGAGTAGAAGGCTGCAGTTTCATCCTCACCTCTCACCTTCCATTTGAGAGTCTGAGTACAGAGCGGACCAGGGTGGAGGGCAGCTTTCCGAAGCAGATGGGAGCCATACGCAGCAGGAGTGTGGGAGAGGGCATCCTGGTGCTCACCTGCACTCAGGGACTCCAGCATTGTGTGGTGAGAAGCGTGCCACTCTCATGTTGCCGAGCCTGCTGGTGTGTCACGTGTGTGGAACATGTGTCTCCGTGTGTCAAGTGTTAGTGAATGCAGACGGGCTCACCTGGCCTCCTAGTGTCCTGGATTGGAGGCCCAGGATTTCTGTACTTTCTTGGATAGCCCCACCTCTCCTTGCTGCCACTGAGGCGGGGAGACGTACAGTCTGGGGCTTCAGTTCTTCCTGTTTCCACATGGTGGTGGAAACACTGTTGATCCTGACTTGGATGGGGTGTTGGCTTTAGAAAGAATCAGAATGTGCTAGTTGATGTGGTAAGACTGTGGCTGAGTTTCAGCCCACAGCTGGCAGTATGCCTATACTTTGCTGTCGTCTTAAGGGTGCCAGCCACACACCTGGTCTTATGATTTTCTGCGGGCCTGCTGGGTGCAGTGCCTGGGTGCGCAGTGCTGCATGGCAGGCTGCATCTCACACCTGGGGGTTGCTCCGTAATGTCCTTCCTGGTGACTGCTGCCTCTTTCAGGTCCCTGGGAAGCCACCTGAGGGGGGATTCTGAGGGGTTTGGCTGTAGCTGAGCTTGCATCCTACCTCGGCATGGCACCAAATGACTTGGGCCCAGGGTCCGCATGTCACCTTCTTACTTAAATGGAGCCTTGTGTGAAACACACCACAAAACTCACGTTTACTTACAGCTGAGGGAGGCTGACCACCTTGTGTGACGAAGTTGGAGGTCTCTGCCATCTCCCTGTGTGTCTCGGCATGTCTTCAGGCTTCCTGGGGGACTCCCTTGTCCTGGTCTCTCATGCAGAGGAAGGATGTGGTGTGTGTTCAGAGCCAGCTTGGTGGTGGCACATAGTGACTGCCCAGCCATTGGAAGCTGCTGCCTTTGCCTCTTTGGACTGTCGTTCTCCTGTTCAGGACCTCACTTCATGGAAACTTCTATACCACAGGTCAAGCCCAGCAGGAAAGTGAGAGCTGCTCTTTTTTTTTTCTGAGACAGAATCTCACTGTCACCCAGGCTGGATTGCAGTTGCGTGATCTTGGCTCACTGCAACCTCTGCCTCTTGAGTTCAGGCAATTTGTGTGCCTCAGGCCCCCAAATAGCTGGGACTGCAGACGCATACCACCACACCTGGCTAATTTTTGTATTTTTAGTAGAGATGGGGTTTCACCCTGTTGGCCAGGCTGGTCTTGAACTCCTGACCTCAAGTAATCCGACTGCCTCAACTCTCAGAGTTCTGGTATTGCAGGTGTGAGCTATCATGCCCAGCCTAGAACTTACCTTTTCTTTTTTCGTTCTTTCTTTCTTTTTTTGTTTGAGACAGAGACTTGCTCTGTCACCTAGGCTAGAATGGCTGGAGTGCAGTAGTATGACCTTGGCTCGCTACAACCTCCATCTCCTGGGTTCAAGTGATTCTCCTGCCTTAGCTTCCCAAGTAGCTAGGACTATAGGCACGCCACTACACCCAGCTTATTTTATGTTTGTTTGTTTGTTTGTTTTTGTATTTTTAGTAGAGATGGGCAAGTCTTGTCTTAAACTCCTGACTTCGAGTGATCCACCTGTCTCAGCCTCCCACAGTGTTGGGATTACAGGCGTGAGCCACTGTGCCCAGCCGAACTTGCCTTTTCTTTCCATTTCTTGGTATTTGGAAAGTGAGCATCCATGGAACAGCCAATGTTTTCAGCTGTTGCAGGCCCAGCTGGTATGTTCATTAGGCTTCTGGCTCAAGAAAGTGTCCTCCATGCAGTCTTGCTGGCATCCCATTACCTTCTAGAAGCAGGAGTCGGCTGTGTGTGCTCATGGCCCATGCTGAGCCTGTCCTCAGGGCGCTAGTCTTCCTGCTGGTTTCTCCAGCCCTTGTTTCAGGTAGAGGTCCCTGCCTGGCTGGCACAGGAAGGAGAATGGAGGGTGGTCACCACTGTGGTTAGTTGCAGAGTGAGTTTGGTGTTTTAAAGAGCATTGCCTACCTGCCCTGTGGCACCATGTGCTGCCATGCAGGGAATTCCCAAGTGCTGGGTGGCAGAGGAGCCTTGTAGGTTCTCGAAGTCCAGCAGTGGGTAGGGTGTATCTATGAGGTACGTCTCAGTCCAAATGTGGCACCTTGAGATTCTGTAACCCGCATTCTGCTGGTTTTCTCTCAGGGCTTCGTTTTGGCCTTGTTGCAAGGAAGCAGTTTCTTGGGGGCTGATTGGGCGCCCTCGCTGCATTGTTGCAGCAATAGCAGCGCCCCCTGCTGGGGGAAGAGGGGTGTTGGGCACAGCAAGCCCTCTGAGGGACTGTCTGGATTCATGATCTTCCTTTGAAACTTAAATTGGCAGTGAACAGGTAAGGCTATCGTACTGTGATCCAAAAACCTTAAAAGTATGTGTGGTAACTGTAGAAGCCAGAAAGTAGAGAGAAATAGAAGAGAACCATTCCATGAGAGAGAAGGTCTGGTGTCCTTTCTGGTTCTTTCCCATAGTTAAGGCCATGCTATCCTAGGTTTTGTGCAGCATCTTCCACATCAACATGGAATGAAATGTCCTTCCTCCTCTAATTAGCAAGCCCTGGTTGACGCCAAGGAACTCTGTCATACTCCTCTAGAATGTCTCCTGCCATCCTCAATTACTGTCTTGTTCTTAGATCTTGAGATAATTTCAGATTTTTTGCTATTACCAGTGATGCATATCTTGATGTCCTAGATTGTTCCTGAAGCTGATCAGAGGTAAGTGACTGGTTCACTTTGAGGGCCTTCTGATCTGATCAGCTGCCATCTAACGAGAAGTTCAGAGATGCAGATTGGAGCTCCCTTTGTGGTGCTCACACCTCGTGGTGCTCACACAGTGAACATCAGGACACAGTGACCACGTGTTGCAGCTTTGTGTGAGCTGCTGTGTGCTGCAGAAACAGGCCTTTGAGTTCATTAATGAAATTCTGGGATTGGGGGCACCAATGCAGGCAGACTTCCATGCCCTGACTCTCAGGTTTGCCCTCTGAGAGCCGAAGAGAGGTGCCCTGTCAGGCACTTGCAGTGCTGTGGTGATGGGTATGGTAAATGGTAGCCTGGGACTGAGTATTTTAGAAAAATTGCTCAGCCTGTGGTGTGCACACCTGGTTCTCTTTCTAATGTTATTTATGTAGCTGAGAAGGGTGATGTCACTCACAAGGAGATTTAGCAGGACACAGCAGACTTCTCTTTCTCCCCTATAAAACCAAGACAGGCCAGGCACAGTGGCTCATGCCTGTAATCCCAACACTTTGGAAAGCCAAGGTGAGAGGATCACTTGAGATCCAGGAGTTCAAAATTATCCTGGGCAACACAGTGAGACCCTGTCTTTAAAAAAAATTAAAAGTTAGCTGGGCACGGTGGTGTGTGTCTATAGTCCCAGCTACTCGAGAGGCTGAAGTGGGAGGATCACACAAGCCCAGAGGTTTGAGGTTGCAGTGAGCCTTGATGACAGCATTGTACTCCAGCATGGGAGAGAGAGCAAGACTCTTGTCTCTTTAAAAAAGCAAAAAGCAGGACAGAATGCGT